TGCTGGTTTAACTGGGGTGGTCAAGGAAGGCCTATCTAAAGAAGCGAAGTGAGAGAATCAGCCCACCTGAGGGTAGAGTGCCCCAGAGAGAGAGGGCTGTAAAGTTCAAGTGCATGAAGTGGACACGTGTGGCTTCGGTGAGGAACAGCGAGGTCAGCGTGGCTAGAGCGATAAGAGATGAGTTGAAGAGGCAGCAGGAGCCCGATCAAGCTGGGCCTTGTAGGCCATGGAGGGATTTTGGATTTTATTCTAAGTGTGGTGGGAAGCCAATAGAAGATTTTTAGTAGGCCAGTGATGTGATTTGAGTCAAGAGATTCTTAAGGACAAACTGAGGACTTTCTAAATGGGTATCATTATCCTGGGATTTTGATAGCACAACAAGTTGTGGGATCTTTTTCAAACAAGACATATCAGAAGGTGGAGGAGGAGAGCAGGGGCAGAAATTGGGGCAAGAGAAAGAAAATTTTCTCACTTCAGTAGCTTAGGAATTGGCCATATAATAGGACTAGGCAGATAAACTCCATTATAAATGAATTACCCTTCAGGCCCACCTTCTATAACTCTGAGGGTCCCCAATAATCAAGTGAGAAATGGCATAGAGTTAATATTAGACATTTTTCTTTTCTGATTTTAGTAAACATATTTGTTTTAGTAAACATATTCTCAAATTTCTTTTCGGATTTTCGTAAACATATTTGTTCATCGTCAGAAATTTAGAAAGTAGAGAAAAGCAGAAAGAAAAAAATGAAAACCATTTTGAAATGGGTTTGAAATCATATTTCTCAGGAAAAAATCACCATCAAAGTGTTGTAGATGTCCATTCAGCCTTTTCTTCAATACACATTTATACAAAATGAGATAGGATAATATTTTTGTAAGTTTCTTTCCTTTACCTTTGAAATACAATAGAACCAACACAGTGTTCAATCTGTTAAGGCTGCATTGAAGGTGAAAGAGTGATAGGACAATATTTGCCTAGTTAGTCCAGTAATCAGAACCTTCGGAACGACAGGCAAAGCAGACTGCGACAAAACGTGTGTGCCCTACCTTTCCTGCCCGTACCTGGACAGTTGAGACTGGTTCCTGGGTGACAATTTCAGAGAGATTGGACCCTATCCCTGTTCTCCAGAGCTCCTTCTCAGTTATGAGTCACGGTCAGCTAACAGCTAACCTGTTCTCTCAAGGTAGTTCTGAATGTGAGAAAAGCAGCTTAATTACAAGGGGGAAGGTTTATGAGGGAGGCCAGCCCTGTGCAGGTAATTACAGCTGGAGGAGGAGCGGGAGGTTCAGTCTAACAGATAAAAATACTTCTTCCCCTTCAGTTCTCAATGCCTCAGTATCATCATCCAAACCCGGCCTTGTCTCAACCAAGCCTTCATTTCCTTGTAGACAGAACCAGAGACAGTTAGATAATTTAATCTTCAGGCAAGAAGTCGTTCTCTCTCATCTTCCAATTCTTAGTCATGTCTGGAAAGCAGGGTGAGGAGAGTGAGGCATTCACCATGGGCACGTAATTTAAGGTGGTGCCAAAAGCTCCCTAATCAAGATAAATATTTCAACAAATAGAAATTAATGGAAAACAATCTACCATTTCAAAAAATACCAAAATTTTACATGAAGACAGGATCGGTATTACTGATTTTTCCTTTTACCTCAGGCTCCAATAAAGCCTTGGCAGGTCACTGTTATGGATCTTATCTGAACCTCCTGAACTGGAATTTCTGGGAGGGAGGCCCAGGAGGCTGTGTTTCATTAATCTTTCCAGGTGATTCTTACACATGCTAAAGTGAGAGAAGTACAGGAAAGAAGGTCTCTGAAGTCACACCTTACATAACGTCATTGGTTATTTGGGGGGATGTTTGTCTAAATCCTAAACAATCAAATAGTCATTTTATGCCAAGGGCAAATAGACATACATGCACAAAAAAACCCCATAAACTGATCAGTTGAGGGGAGGAGAACTTTTACTCTAAACCCGTTTTATATTAAAGTATGCTTCAAAGCAGCTCACATTGTAAAAAGATTCCGGTGCAATAATTTGCCTTTATATTGACTGTTGATCAATCAATGTTATTGAGTGGCCAATAGTCCATAAGGCACTGAGAGTCAAATAATACAATTGTGAAGATACAGCAAGTCTGAGAATTCAAACACAGCCTTCCTACCTGGTGAATAACCAATAAGCCTATTGATGGATCTTAAATCCAATCCAGACTCTGGCTATCAGAGGCACATTTAGTGCTTTTACAGCCCTTGATCTACCAAAGATCATGATTTTTTTTCCTATAAATATTTCTTCATTGTCATGGATTCTGTGTTACACCACTCAGATCTCCCTTCATAAAGTGAAGGATTAATTTCCCCCAGCTCTTGGGAACTTGTCGTCTGACATCACTCAGCTGTCAACTCCTTTGAGAATTGCCATGGCAGAAGAAAGCCACCTTACCCATGGTCACGCTCCCAGCCAGAAGCGCCTGCATCCAATGACTGGCTAATTTAGGGGCAAAAAGGCCTGGCTCCCTCACCCCAATTCAGGACAACTCCAGAAGGCCATCCCAGGGTCAGCTGCTAGGAGTACCCTCTGCCCAACGCTGCTATTTCTCTCCCCTCAACTGTTGTTGAGTCTGAGAGCACTTCCTAATAAATTTCCCACACACAAATCTGCATCTGGGAGTTTGCTTTCCAATGAACCCAACCTGCTCGATTTACAGAACTTCCTAACACTGTGTTAATTAGAGGTTGGACACTTGACATATGAAGAAAGAAGTGCCACAAGGAAACAAAAGTGATTCAGCAAGTCAATGACACTAAAATTATTGACACCCTTCACTGGGATGTCAATGAAATCTCCCAATATTTTTTTCAAGTCTCTCTCTCAATGCTGCCATATCCATATATTTATCCCAGATGACTCTTTAAGTCTTTACAAAGGCCTTATGAGTTCAAGGTTCAGGAGACCAAAGAAAATTCTAAAATGAGTTTCATTTGAGTTGAGGATCTTTAAAACCCAACATTGTGGTGTTCAGATCTACATTTATGATCTCCTCCCCTTACAATTTGATGATCAAAACAGAAGTTAGGATGGTGACTGAGATAGAATAGAAGCATAAACCACTCACTTATTCCAACTTGAATTAAGTTTGAATTGAAATGCACTCAATACAGGCAGCCTTTTTCTGGTTCTCTGTATAAAAAGTTGTTGTTGTGGCTGTGGTTGCGGTTGTTACTTGGAGAGCTAAAAGGAGACGAGAGGAGGTGACACAGAAAAACCAAGGTCTGGGTCAGAGGTAGGGTTTACCCAACTTAGCACAACATGGCATAGGTAGGTTAGAGAACTGAAGCCATTATCAGGAAGCACTAAGGTCATAGCCAGAATAGTGCCAGGCATCAATCCACGGGTGAGACAAGGAAGAAGACAGGAAAACAAGGAGCCAGGCTGATCCTTGAGAAAACAAGACATTGAACAGAATCAGGTATCTGGCACAGTTTAAGGCATGTGGTTCAGAACTAAGCTTGTGAATGGTGAGTAGGTGCCGAGCCTCTTCTCTCAGGTGGCCTGGTGTATCCAGCAGGAATCAGTGTGGCAACTTCATCTCTGGCCTGGACAACCACTCAATCTTCATCTCCTTTTCCCTGCACCCATCTCCTCAAAATCTCACCCATTAAAAATGACAGTGGGGCCTGGCAGGTGGAGAAAGAGATGACAAAGAGAGGGTCACAAGTTCCCTTAAATGTCTAACTCTAACCACATACTCATTCACTTGTTCACACACAATTCCCGATACCAGAAGAAGCAACAGCTCTCCCACATACCACATTCTAGGGCATCCTCTGATCACAAAACAACAGAACCCTCCTGTCACAGGTAAGTACAAGGTACCAGAGAACCGGCTGCAGGAAAAACCGTTGTTCTCCCTCTGCTAATGGGTAGAAGCATCACAACAGGCAGCTCTGCACAAAAATCCTGGGTTAGCCTACGATGGGGCTGCCAGGTTAGCAAAAGTGGAAAACTAAGGTCCTTGGTTTTCCAAAAGAGGATAAATCCAGATTATCCTCTTTAGTAGTGTCCTCGATGAGATCATGGCAGAGGCAAGGGTGTGACTCACCTTGAATGTAAGGCTTACAGCCAATGTTGGTGACAAACAACAGAGAACCATAGGCTAGTTTGTTGTTGTCGTCGTCATTGTTTATAAGTTGTATCAGGTGAGGAAACGTGCTTCTAATTCTAATTTTGAGATACCACAGATGAACCCAAATATCTTATGGTGTAACTGAAAATTTTCAAAATAAAATTACTCCTATTTTTCCTCAATTTAAAAATTCCCATATAGGCTACCTGAGAGTTTTAGAAAAGGGGATTAGTGGTTACCAGAGGGGAAGTGGGGAGGGAGGAGGGTGAAAGGGGTGATTAGGCACATGTGTATGGTGATAGATTGTAATTAGTCTCTGGGTGGAGAACATGATGTAATCTACACAGAAATCAAAATATAATGATGTACATCCAAAATTTATATAGTATCATAAACCAATGTTACCACAATAAAAAAAAAAAGAAGATTTACCTATTTCCATTAAAAAAAAAAAATAGAAAAGAGAGCCATGTTTGGTCTGGAGAATAAACTCCAAAACGCCAATACTTGCAGTTCCTTCCATATTTCTCTCCGAAAACTCTGGATTCCCAAAAGATTAGGAATCATTGGCCTAAAGTTTCCAAAGTCTGGGTAGATCCCTTTCCCCAGTGACAGCCACAAAGCAAACGCTGTATCACACCCCATCTAAAGAAAAGATAGAGGAAAACTGAAAAAGAAATGTCTGCTAACATGCCCTGTGACCATGAGCAACAGCTTTCCCTCCTCTGAGCCTGTGTTCTAACGAAAATCCAGGAGACTGTGGTCTCTAACACCCAGCCCCCAAATTATCTGACCAACCACATACCAAACTCCACCCCAAGCCACCTGGAGATTTTACTATTTGTGAGTCTGGCTCCGCCCAGCTCCTCCTTGCCTTTCAATCCCTTGGTTAAATAGCTTCCCTCTAATGGCTTTTGCGCTGGAAGCAGCACCTCCGAACTCCTGCGAGAATCAGCTCCCCCAGCATGAGAGCCGCCCCCCTCCTCGTGGCCAGGGCGGCGAGCCTTCACCTCAGCTTCTTCCTTCTGCTTTCCTTCTGGCTAGACAGAGGCGTGGGAGCTAAGGAGCTGAAGTTTGTGACATTGGTGAGTAGACTTTTCTTGCTGCTTTTTCCTTAAAACCGTGTTGCTAGCAGGGTCTGAAAAACCAGCGTCAGGTTTCATTTTACCCTTGCATTCTGTTATCTCCCCGAGACCAGACTCTGAAAGCGAATAATCAAGTTTCACAAGTTCCTCATGATGAAGCCTTAACACGTCCCGACAAAAAGGTGTTTGGTTTGCTTATGTTTGCCTTTGCTGATGTTATCTATTTATTCACTTACGGTACAACCACCTTGAATGCAGATTCCTTTTGACAGCCACAGAGGCCAGGGAGAGCCTTGGCTGGCGCTGCTTAGCACCAGGCGCTAAACTGGCTTCCCTCAGTTTAATGATTGTTTGCAAACCAAAAGACAGTCATTTTCCGAATTAAGTGGCTCCCTCCCCTTCTGTTTATCAGGAAATTGGAAAATATATTTGTAAACAGTCTTTGAAGCATCAAAGTGAAACTAAGCTCAAGAGTTTCAGGATGACTTCCTGATGCATAGATTTAGTTGATGATTAAAATCATGTTTTTCCCCACCCATGGTATGTGCAACAAGTTATGAAAGATAGGGGGGTGGCTAATGCATGATGTCAGGGAAAGAAAATATACTGTTGGCATGGCTTTCAAAATTAAAAGAGAGTTTGCAAAGTAAAGGGGATTTACCACTTTACATATGAGTCCTAGAATTAATCCTTCTATATCTCTTGGTTTCTGTCTTTGATCGTCTCTGTATCTCTATTTCTCTTTTTTTTGTTTCGCTCACTGTCTTGCTCTGCCTCTGACCCTCTCCACGTCTTTGAAAGGCTCTCTTGATCACTTTCTCTTCCTCACATTTTTTATCTGATAGAGTGAAAGTAGGCTGATAAATAAGTAAATTTTCTTTCTGTAAGAATACTCAAAATTTATTTTTATAATTTGAAGGGGGGTCGCCTTTTAGTTAAAAATTAAACATGAAGTTCCTATTTTCTCAGCTTGATGTATTTAGAAGTTCTTTCTCTTCTACAGGAAAATTTCATAACCATATGTTTATGCAAATTATGATTCTTAGTCCAGTAAATCTTTACTAGGTCATGAGTTGACAATGAGAGCAAAATATATCATTGATTTATTTACAAATGATTCACCAGCTGTCAGGCTTCTGTGCTGAAAAAATTGTACAATATTGTGTACCTTCTATAGCGAAATCCATGCAAGTCAGGCTTTTAGTTATATTCATGGGTTCCTTGCCCAGATGTGCATTAAGCAAGTGTAGGGACTCTGCAGAAATTTCACTGCCAACACTGTAAACCTGTGACAAGCTAGTTGAGTGGTAATCCTCTTTGAGATATTATAGCGAACTCTCAGTTAACTGCATGGATCGATTCTTTTCTCCGTGTTTCGCTACACCCCAGGCTAACTTCCCTTGGCTACAAAACTGTTGTGAGTTTCCTTTCTCCTGCCCCGCTCTTGGTTAATGTGTGTCCAGGGGCTACAAGTTAATTCTTCCCTAAGAGAAACCTGACAAAGGTAGCTCTCTTGGAGCTAAAAAATTAACAATCATCACACAAGGCTAATGTTAACAATTTTTCCTACCATGGCTTCCTTCCATTAATGGTGGATGAAAGGCAACTTAATACATCTTTCTTGGCCCTCACAAAACAATTTCTATCCAAGGACTTAAGCCAGAAGATATCAATTTCTTCTTTTTATTGATTATAGAGAATATGTGACTATAAATGGTTCAATTATATACCCAGGGAAATCCTTAGAAAATTATTAAGAGAATCAGAATTAAAGAAAGGTGTCTCTGATTAAAGTAGTAATATTAATGACAATAACCAATAGTTAGTCAAGTGCTTACTAGGTGCCGGGCACTGTTCTGCGAGTTCAATATGGATTATGTTACGTAATCCTCCCAACAACTCTGTAAAGTAGGGTTGCCGAAAAAACATAGGGTGCCCAGTTAACTTTGAATTTCAGATAAGCAGCAAATAACTTTTTAGTATAAGTATGTTCCATGAAATATTTGGGCATCCTGTATTTTTGTTTGCTACATCTGGCAACCATTCTATAAGGTTTTTGTAAAAACCTTATTATCCCTATTTTATTTTGTTTATCTATTTATTTACTTTGTGAGGAAGGTCAGCCCTGAGCTAACATCCAGGCTAATCCTCCTCTTTTTTGCTGAGGAAGACCGGCTCTGAACTAACATCTATGGCCAATCCTCCTCCTTTTTTTCCCCCAAAGCCCCAGTAGATAGTTGTACGTCATAGTTGCACATCCTTCTAGTTGCTGTATGTGGGCGCAGCCTCAGCACGGCCGGAGAAGCGGTGCGTTGGTGCGCGCCCAGGATCCCAACCCAGGCTGCCAGTAGCAGAGCGCACGCACTTAACCGCTAAGCCATGGGCCGGCCCAATCCCTATTTTATAGATGAAGAAATTGAGCCACAAAGAGGTTAAGCAACTTGCCCGTGGTCACACAGCTAGGATTTGAACCCAGGCTGTCTGATCCTAGAAGCCATGCCCCTAATCACGAGACATATTCTGTTCTTGCTGTGTGTATATAACCCAGCACATGGAGCCAAGATCTCCCCATGGCGGTTTGGGGCATCAGCTTGACTCATATTTAGTAGGTGGCTTCCTTGCTTTTCTTCTGTGTTCCAAGAAAAATAAATCTTCCCCAATTCTGAAAAGCTGTTCGTGGCACAAAGAGCAGGAAGCTATCCTTGGTTCTTGTTCTCTCTCATGAACAGAGTCACACCATGATCTTTTAAAACAGGTTCACCAAAGTACGTCCCGTGAAAGCCTAGTCTGACAAGTTGTTAACAGGCATTTCTTGGTAAAAAATGGGTTTCAGTAGTCAAATCAGCTTTGGGAACAGAATGTGGGTTAAACTGTGTTTAAAAGTCTCAAATGCAGGACTCCTGAGAGTCTTTAATATTCTAATATGTACTGTGGCTTTCAAGGAAAGAATCTAGTAAATTGTATTTCCCAAATTTTGACTACAGAATCCACCTCTTCTTTTTTTCCAGAGTGCCCCATACAAAACCTTTAGAGAACTGCTATTTTAAAATTTTTAGAGAGAATAATAAGTATGGTTAATCCCAATGTACCCATCAACCTGCTTCAATAATTATCATTCACGGCCAATCTCATTTCATCTATACGCCCACACACTCCCACTGGACTTTTTAAAAATAATCCCATGTGTCCTTACTCCTTCCATAAATAGGGAAATGCCATTTTATAATTTTTTCTTTTTTTTTTTATGAGGACGACCAGCCTCCTCTTTTTGCTGAGGAAGATTGGCCCTGGGCTAACATCCGGGCCCATCTTCCTCTACTTCATATGGGACGCCCCCACAGCATGGCTTGACAAGCCGTGTGTCGGTCCACGCCCGGGATCCAAACCTGCAAACCCCAGGCCGCCGCAGCAGAGTGTGCGCGCTTAACCACTGCGCCACTGAGCCAGCCCCGGGAAATGCCATTTTAAAGTGTTCTCTCTCTCCTAAACCAGGGAAAAATGACAAGTTCAGGTAATCTCAGACAGAGAGACAAAATTCTTCTCGTTCCACTTGGGTTTTACAAAGAAAGGGAGGATAAGCCACAAAGTATTAGCTCTTCTCATTCTTCATGATTAACTATGCAAAATTCTTACTCAAGTCATAAAATATCCTTGATGAAAATAGCCTCCAAACCTTAAGCACATAATCTCTGCACTGGGATGGGTAACTTCCATATGGTGGGTAGGCAAATTCAATCGATGCTAGCCGTCACACATTTCCACGACTGCAGACCTTCAGGATTCTTCTGCACACCTCCTGGAAAAGTGAAAAATGGGCAAGTTACTCCACAGGCTGGCAGTCCAATACTGTTATACATTTTCTAATGCTATGTACTAAAATAAAAGTTGAAATCTATACCTAGGGAAACACTGAACTTTCATTAATTCAAATTCCAGTATCATTTACCCGGTATGGGACCACGGGCAGTCACTTAATCCAACTGAGTCTCAAGTTCCCCCAACTTAAAGTTGGGGGTAATGATCCCAACTATGCTTCCTTCTCTCCGTGAACAGAATTGTCTTTAGGTTCAAATGGCATGACACACAAATGAAAGTGTGAACCATGATACAAATGTAAGGTGCGCTGAAAGTCATCAGTCTAAGACAGAAGCTTTCCAACTTTTTGGATAAAATCTAGATGATCCTTAATTTTTCTCTTTTTTAAATTGTGGTAAAATGCACAGAACATAAAATTTTCTATCTTAACCACTTTTAAGTGTACAGTTCAGTGGCACTAGATGTATTCACATTGTAGTGCTATCATTAAAACCATCTATCTCCAGAACTCTTTTCATCTTGTAAAACTGAAACTCCGTGTCCATTAAATAGTAACTCCCCATTCTCACCTCCCCTATCCTCTGGCAACCACCATTCATCTTCCTAACTCTACGAATTTGGCTACTCTGTATACCTCAGAGAAGTGGAATCATACAGTATTTGTCCTTTTGTGACTGGCTTATTTTACTTAGCATAATATCCTCAAGGTTTTAGATGATCCTTCATTATACTTGAGCTTCACAGGGTCACATGAGTAACTTAAAGAAAGCAATAAAAGAGAACATAAGGTATTAGATAATTATCCTCTCTATACTAGAACCTTAGGCTAACTACTTAACTTATTTGTACTCAAGTCTTCCCCACCTGTGAATTCTAACTTATTTTCCCCTGGGGGCAACACATTTGTGTGTGTCAAGTCTGGAGGGAAAAACAGAGAAGGGATACCACCACAGTTCAGGAGGAGCATAGTGAAGACCTGAGTTAGATCAGAAAGCAGTAGAATTGAAAAAGAAAGGATGAATTTCTTTTAAAAATTGTGAAGGCAGAATCCTCATGGGTTGAATATGAGTATTAAGGAAGAAAGAAAAACCAAAACGACCTTGAGTTTTCTAATTTTGGTTATTGGAAAGATGATGATGTCATGGAGATAGAGTGCATAAAAGGCATTAAATATTTGAAATTCT